CAGTTGTCAGATCTGTGAAGAAAGAGTATAAACTTGAAATGAGAGTCTTTTTAAAAGCGACTGCCGTGCCAACGAGGGATTCTGTTACCCCTCAATCACCTGAAAAGATCAGCCAGCGAGAAAAGAGGAAGGTAAGAATTTCATATGTTTACACGCTTATTTCCAGCGATCTGTGCTACAGTAGTAGTCCCACATATTTTTTCTTTGTCAGGAATACCAGCTACCGTTTACTTGTCTTCATAACTATTTAAAGATATGTACGATTTGCTTAGTTTTCACCACTTCGTGACTTTCAAGAGAGTCTAAAAATGACCTTGATGTGTGATGTGACGTCAGTAAACAAGACGGCCGCATTCTTTTTAGGTTTCTTCCGACAAAGTGAGAAGAAAAAAAAACCCTTAGTTTTGGTCGTCGTTGACAATAATTCGACGCCAATAGGTAAACTATAGTAGTCCAGTTAAACAGTCAAAAGGGTTTCTTTTTTTATCCTAGAAAAAGAATTGCTGTTTTCTTCACAGACATATCAGATTTTATTAATAGTTAGCTTATATATAATGTGGCATTGTAATAACATCATCAATAAGTTTTACCTGTTTTTTGTTTCTTGTTTTAGTTAACACGTGAAGTTATGGCTAAAGTGAATGTGCCTCCTAAAAAGAAAAAGAAAAAGCCTTCCTCATCCACTGCCCCTGCCACTTTGGAACCAGCTTCTGAAGGTACAACATCTTTAGACCAAGGTGCAGAATCAGAAGCTGTTTCCAAAGACATGCAAATGCCTACTGCTTTGCCTGGACCATCAACTTCTGGTGAGGACGTTATAAACGTCCCATCAACCTCAGCCTCTGTTACGGTGCCTACAATTCAGGAGCCTGAGGAGCCTGCTTCAGACAACTCGGCAGCATATGGTACAACCTCATCCTCTATGCATACTGGTACAACAAGCTGTAAAGGATGCAAGCACAAAGCAGAGTACCAAAAAGCAATGCGCGCGAAGAAACGGCTGAAGAGCAAAGTGAAAGGTCTAAAAAAGGAGGTCTGTTCTTTGAAGGCCACCATTGCTGAACTTCAGAGTGTAAGTTTTACTCAGGTTACTACCATATTTTATTTTTTTCAATAACTTGAAGTAATGCTCTAAAAGAATAATATAACCTTTTCTTGGTTTTGATTTAGTGTGTGGCTGAAAACGAAACAGAGGAAGAAGAAGTAGAATCTGCACAGCCAAGTAGTGAGAGTACTTCACATGGCCAAAATTATTTTTCATGGTCAAGCACTGGAGAGGAAGAGGAGGATGGTGCTGTGGAAGGTAATGACCAAGAGTGGGGCCCAACAGGAGCGAGTTCAGAGGAAGAGCAAACCACAGAAGATGAGGAAGAAATACCAGAATCAAATGCAAATGATATAAAGTAAGAATTAATGTCTGTAGCCCATTGTTTAGGTGTCGTTGGAAAAGCCACTCTTGGGGTTACCTTCTTGTGATAAGTTCCTTCCTGCTTTCATCTGAAAATCAGGGTGTTTCTTTTTGTCTTTGTTGTAGTATTTCTCTTGGCTTAAGTTCTTCAAGAATTAATTTATGTTTTCATCGTTCAAGATGTAAAATTAACGTGTCATGCTTTGGATCGATTACCTATTGAAACTTTCAAACTTGTGAGCCATGAATCATTGAAAAGGTCTCTTTTCTTTGTTTCAATACTGTACAATAATTGTATATATATATTATTCTTTTCTTTTCAGGGCAGATGCAGACTCTTCTGACTACCATTACAACCAGCCAAAATTTATTGTTTTTTATGAAATGCTTTTGAAAATTTTTTTGTTATTTTGCTTCAACTGCAAAGAAAATAATCCTCAAGTGTCTATGGTTCAAAATGGCACAATGGTGACTGTTAGGCAGAAGTGTGCCAAATGCATTAAGGGATATGTGTGGACCTCTCAAAGGATGATGCCTCATGGAAAATATCCAGCTGGTAATGTCCTATTGAGTCTTGCTGTTTTGATGGCTGGTGCCTCTATCAGCAAGATTCTCCTTGTGTTTCGTCACATGGGACTGGTTTGTTACTCTGCAAGAACATTTTTTAAGCACCAAAGATCGTTCCTATTTCCAGCTGTTATTCACCATTGGGAGTCCTACCAGACTGACCTTCTCAATAAGGTTAAGGACCTGAAGGATGTAGTTTGGGCTGGGGATGGCCGGTATGACTCCATGGGGCACTCAGCGAAGTATGGTGCATACACATTGCTATGTACAACCATCATGAAAATTGTACACTTTGAGCTTGTTCAGGTATGAAGGTTTTATAAGTGCAGCCCTTCGATATAAAAGACATGACATGAAAGCCACCATTTATTAAAACCAAGAGAGAGTGCAGTTAAACAAAATAAGGTGTTACTCAACCTTGAAAAATTGTATTCAGTTCTAGTGATATAGAACCCTTACAACACATCTTCTTGTCATCCAATGAAAATTTTCAGTAAAATTACCCATTTACTTTGTTATGTGAACTGAACTTTTTTTTTTTACCTTACTGTTGTAAAAATATAGTTTCAAGCATCTATTAAGAACAAGATGTCTTGGACCCGCCAATTATTGAAGATTTATTACATCTCTTTCTCAAAAAATTTCTTACAGGCAAATGAGACTGGTGGCAGCTACCAAACAGAGCTTGAAGGAGTAAAACGGTGCTTTGGCTTTCTGCAGCGGCTTGGTGTTAAAATTGGGGTGTTTATCTCTGACCGTCATAGAGGTATAGCCAAATGGATTAGAGAAAACTGCCCTGGCACTACTCACTTCTTTGACATTTGGCATGTGGCCCGCTCAGTTACCAAAAAGCTGCTTGCTGCAAGTAAAGAGAAGGGATGTGAGATCATCCAGGATTGGATGAAGGGAATTCGCCGACACCTTTATTGGAGTGCTACATCTACCAAACCTGGTTTTGGCAGCCTCATCCTGGCTAAGTGGAATTCATTCCTGCGACATGTTGCAAATAAACATACTGACCACCCTGACCCACTCTACAAGGTCTGCAATCATGGAAACCTTCCATCTAGAAAGTGGATCAAAATTGGTGAGGATATAATTTTTAATGTATTTATAATTAAAGGTCACAGCTGTTGGAATTGTCTTTAATTTTAGTGTACCAAAAGTTCATGTACACCCTTTTACTTTTTATTGTAGGTACTGCTGCCTATGACAAACTTAAAAGCCTTCTCACAGGCAAAGCATTGCTGAAGGATATAGAGCAGTTGTCTCCAGATGCCCAAACAAGTTGCTTAGAGGGGTTTCATGCCACCTTGAACCACTGGCATCCAAAGATGATTGGTTTCTCTTGGCTCGGCTCCTTTTGCAGGTAGTACTAAATTTTTGTTGCCAAATACAAAAAATTATGTTACAAAAACAGTTACTGTCCAACAAACATTTTTACAATTAATACTGGTTTTTCATGAGTATTGACTACATAACAGTTAGTACTTAATTGACAACCAGTGGTTTCAACATATTTTGAAGTAGGTGCCTGACTCTGGAAAAGTAGGCAGCTGTTACAATCGAGATTGTTTGTCTAGAGCTGATTGTTATGACCAGAGTAGCCGGCGACATGCTATCAAGTAGCCGGTTTAACTCCGGCGGTCACTGGCTTGTTTTTAAACCCCTGATTGACAACCCATTTCAAGTCATTGCACCCTCCTCCTGCCCCTCACGTCACAGAATGCTTTTTTGGAATTTGTTTTCAGACACATCCTTGCCAGTCTCCACTTCAATGAGAATCTTCATAGGGATACCCAGGTAACCAGGGATGGTAAAAAGTATTTCCGAATCACATACCCAAAATTCAAACTAGGTGAGGAGGTTGTTCGAGAAGTAGCTACACCCCCAACATATGGTAAGTTGACTGTAGAGTGAATCATTGTTATACTAATAATTTTTAGAATAGTTCTAATATTTTATAAAAAATAAAAAAGGATAAGAAAGGATGTCAAGTGAATAAAACTTGCTTTCCAAGATGCAGTGTTATCCACAACCTTTGCATGTACATTATTTCATGGCAAACTACTTTGCAGTGGCTACAATATTGATAAACTTATAGGGATGTAAATATGATTTTATGATTATGTACATTTAATCAGCACAGAATATTTAAAGTAAATATTTGGCAATTTTGTTTTTTATAGGGTATGCTGAAGATATAAAAAAGCTGCTCTTTAATTTGTCTAAACAAGAGATGAAAGAGGTTTTTGACAGATATTCTGCCCGGACTCCAGAACCCCTCACTGCTCAATTCAGTGGTCGTGTTGACAAGGAAACAGCAGTAAAAACACATGAAGAGAAACAAGGACAAAGAATCAGCACTCAACTTTTCCCAGCAAGTATGTTACATTTCAATTATTGACTAAATACCTATAAAGTTATTCTGAGGAGGGGAAGATAAAGTATTTGCACATGTACAGGCAAAATAAGGGTAAAACCAAGACTCTGTCAATACAAGAAAGTGGCACATCATTAATTTATAGTTCACAAACCTTGAAATAAAATTTGCTTGACGAAGTATTTTTGTTTCTTCAGGGGCAGAGCAAGAAGTCCTGCAACAAGCAAGCTGCAGTTTTCAACAGCCTGCCAGTGGCTCTAGGGCAGTAAGAAAGTGCTCAAAATGCAAAAGACCAGGCCACACCAGAAGAAAATGTCCTGAATAAAAATTAATAATGTTGAAAAAGAAATCTTCTACAATTAACTCCTTTGAAATCCACACTGTATGGGTGCTTTTTTAGTAAACTGCATGAGAAAACCATTTCAGTAGAGTGTTACTTGTAACTTGAAGGAAACAAAAAAATGAAAAATATGAGCCCAAAAAACAGTAGTTGCATTATGGGGGGTTACCCCCTTTATGATGATTCCCTTGCGCATGAAAATAACATAAACAAATTAAGCAAAATCATGTTTCGTTTAATTAACATGGCTGATTATTATTGTACATTTAATAACATTGATGATATACTATGCCAAATAAAATCTATTCTGGCAGTGCGTTTCTGTATCCTCTTGATTGCAAAGTCTGGTAACGAGACCTGATGTCATGATAAATACAGGCTGGAAGGGGCCTTGTGTTTTCCCAGCCCATATACCCACAAAGCCAGCGTATCATCCATCTATAAGCCACTGCACGAATGAATCTGGAAAAAAAAACGAACACGGCTAAGCAAGGAAGTGATCTGTCGTATCTATAGATCTTGTCACGGACCGTGTTTTGGAAAGCATCGTGACGAGTTGGCAAACGCGAGAGAAGTCACAGCGTGTGCATGAGCATTCAGTGTCGAATAATTTTTGTAAAACAACCGTTTTCAAAAAAAGAAAATAACAATAAAACACTCAAGCTACGCAGTACAGTATTCTACTGACAAATTTTCGGAGCCGTGCCTGCGCGCCTGAATTTTCCCGAGTTGTTTTTAATTTTTCCCGGGAAATTTTGGTCGGCGAAAGCGGCTCTAGCCCAGATCAGGCCATTAAATTTTGTTGCAAAAGTCCATTACCTTGTAACTTAGATTCGCAATTCATACACTTTTGAAAACGGCCATTTAACGAAAATTATTGGACATTGGATTCTCATACAAACGCTGTAATTTCTTACCCGTCAAGATGGCTTTCAAAACCGTGGCAAAGTCTAAACAATAGAACTCTTGCCCTTGTTGTCCTTCTAACTATTACCCAAACAGCGCAAACATTTCAGCAAAAATTACTAGTCTGCAAAAATAATAAAGCTTGCACGGGAGAGAATAATAATATATCTGGAATTAAAATTATTTCTCACTCGTTCTCTGGAACTCCAGATCGTCGGCGGTAGCTTCGGCCATCTTTGTTTCTCAACAATGGAGCCGCTTGAAGCAGAACCGTCCTGTTGCTTAGAGCTGCGTAGTCTTCATGCTGTGTTATACAGCTGATGCGTTCGATGGATCCATCGAAGACAAGCTTCCCCGATGAATGGACCACCTCTCTACAACAACGAAACTCCAGCGCCCCAACTAAATTCATGTCGTTGCATAGCTCACATTGGCACCTGAGAAGGCAGGGGAAATAACGTAAACATAAAAGACAAGCTTCTCCCAAATATAAATTGACAGGAAAGGAAAATGCAATACAAATTATTTTGAAATGGCTATACAAACCAGGACGTAACTGGAACCGTTCTTTCATATCTGGCCTCTAAAACAGTTGGTGTAAGGCCATCCGCATCGGCATCTTCGTTCTCTTCTTCCATATGTGGTTCGGCGGAAGCGTCTGCAAGAGGTTCGTCTTCATAAGGTTGAACGAGACTAAGAACAACCTCTACATCTACATCATCATTTTCTATTTCCTCTTCTGGATATGTTTCTTCTGAGTCGCTTTGTTCAACGCTGCTTATTTCCGAATCACTTGACATCTCTCGACTAAGCTCTTTATAGTTTATAGTATCTTGTAAACAAACACTCGTGGTGCAACCAAAATGACGTCACTCGACCCAGTCTCCTGTAATCCTTTGACCATTTTTTGAGGCAAAATAGGTCAACTTCAATCGCTTATAAAATCGGCAGTTTTTACTCAAAACATCTCAAACTTTGGAATCGAGAATTTTAAATGATAAAGATTTTAACTGACTAAAAATAATTTTCGGTTCATATGCACTTTAAGCAACGTTTGGTGAGTTGATATTCATAGTACTTTAACAATTTGTTTGTTTTGCACCAGATGTCTGCAGGAAAGACAAAGAAAAGTGAATTTATTAGATCGAATCAGCTATGCACTGCGGTACTCGTTACTTCGGCGGAGCGCGAAGTATAGGATATTTGACGAAGTGAGAGCCGAATTAGTTTGAGATATCTCGAGATCACTTCGATTTCTTCGATTTATTCTTTAACTTTTTCGAGGAAGAAAGAATTATTATTTTGGCTTTCCCGGGGTTTGAACCGACTCACCGGTGTGACCCGTCAGATCAAAGGAGACTCTAAGTTGAGGGCTTAGCCGATTGCGCTACTGCGACCCAGGGTAATTCGGAATATGAAAAACAGTTATGAAATGATGCACTAGTTTCGGGACAAGATTGGGCGTGCAAGTTCGTGACTTTTCGGCTTGTTTCGGCTATTTCACGAGATGAGACCGGACTTCTTCGTGATATCTTGAGATCACTTCGAGTTTAGTCTTTAATTTACTCGAGGAATAAATATAGGATATTACGTGGCCGCGCAGAGACACGAAATTTCTCTTCGAGTGTTGAAAAACATTTCACGAGTGAGTCCTCCTTTCGAACTCCTGCACATAGACATTTTGTCTTTGTTGAGTGTTACGTAGTAAAATTGCTTACATGCGTTGCGTGACTTTCTCGAACGTTCTCCACGTTTTTGGATTATTTATGAATAATTAATTAGGGCATGTTTACATTTTAGCATTTGTCAGCAGATTTGCATCAGTCAGTGAAATCATAAAATATGTCAAAAAGCTACTACTATTCGCCTGTTTAGTATTTTCTAGAACCTTATCACAAACGGTATACAAGTTCCAAGCGAGTTCTTTTGACGAACTAAGTTTTTTTTCCACGAGCTGGACTGCTGTGTTTAGTCAAGTGTGACGAAGGTCGATTTTCAAGTTCTGTGTTTACAAGTTGGCGGAAGGCGTAAGATAACTGTAGTTCAAGTGAGAGTTTGTTATTATTGGTAGAGGCTGTTTAGTTTTACTTAAGTTCAAGTCAAGTTTGTGTTGACGAATGCTGTGTTTTTAAAGCTCTTTAAAGACTATCTCCCTTTGGTATTAAACGTCCTTGTGTTAATCCGACATCCCTGCGTGCTGATAGTCAGTGGTATTAAACGTCCTTGTGTTAATCCGACATCCCTGCGTGCTGATAGTCAGTGAATAATGATCCTCAAAACATTCGAACTCGTAACATTGAGTTTTAGCCAATTCCACGCTCAACGTAATTGACTCCTCCCCCATGCCTTACATATTTTTAATCAGTACATGAGACTGCCGTGCTGTTTTTGAAGCCTGATGTTAGTAAGAAAAATACAGAATTCTTTTTTCACTGTTTGTTTTGTTAGACGTGTTATTCACCGCCAGCAACCTCATACTTGACTTAGGTCTAAACGTTTAGACCCAAGTCAAATTTCGACGGATTTGTATGGAGTCATCAGAGCATAACTGGGCTAATATCTCAGAGACAATTTGTCTCGAAATGCTAGTTTTTGGCAAGAAGGCCTCTTGGATGTTGCTTTTTTCAAAATATTCTGACAAGTCCCATAATTTCACAAATTAACACATTACTCTTACCATATTTCATTTCTCACTATTCCTCCGCATTTACAATTTAATCAGTTCCACAGCAACGACGCCGAAGTATACGCTCCGTAGCGTCTTGTTTTCATTAATCAGGGTCCCAAAGCGAGAGTGGCTGGAGTGCGGGAGCCCTAAATTTTTTTTCGCGGAGCCCGGAGTCCCATCGCTTCGTTGCTTGGAGCCCTAATATTATTTTACTGTAGGGCCTGGAGCCCTCAAAACGTTTGCTGCGGAGCCCATAGCCCCAAATATTAAAATTCGGACATTCTTCCGGGGCACCCAACGAGAATATAGTTTAAGGTGGCTCGACTGGATTTTTTTGGGGGGAATACCTCCCAAGTTTGAGCATTAACTACGTCGGCATGAGTAAAGATATAGGAAAAAGGTTACCACAATAGTATTATATAATGATGAAAATTTCTTATGATCTGGCTTTTATTGCAATCGGAGTCGCCATGGCAACGTAATGACGCCATTACGCTTTTTATTTATCTTTGTGTTTCTCCGTACCAGGAGCTTTTTGAAGAAATCGCTCAAGGGAGTATGTACCTGCCACAATTGCCTCCATTATGGCAAAGTTTCAACAAATTCTATGAGAGCGTTTTCGAAATATTTTGACACGCAGTCTTAACAATCATAAAAACAGTGAAATAGCATGCTATCCACACAATTCGCTAATATTTTAAGAAACTGATAAGCTTTGGAAACACGGCTTCATCCCATAGTGGTTTGATTCCATTGAAAACTGCATACACAAAAAGAGGGGAATTGCTCAGAGCGATCGCGAGTGAGAAGAATTTTATTGACTTGCATTCAGCTGCTTTTGTTACAGTTTTTGGACGTAATTTGGTCCATGCCTACAAATTTTGCATTTTTCCAAAAACCGCTCGACAACGTTTTTTATAAATTCCGCAATCTCGAGATCAATTGTCAATAAATATTCCCTGCAAGTTTCAAGAACATTGAAAACAGGGAAGGCTTTTAAATAGGGCCTCAAATATAACCACTTTTTCCCCGAGATTTTGTGTTTACAAGGGAGCGTCCTCATTATTCACTGGCATTGTTTTCAAGTTTCATATGCACGTGCACATTTAGCAAAAACATAGAACTTGCATCAAAAAGGACCCTCGGTTATATCTCCGGAATGTGCTAATTACCGGGTAAAGAGATTAATGATGCATTATAATATCAGAGCAGTTCTTTGAAAGAGTTTCTGTGCTCTACAGCTCCCAGTGTTTATATCACAGTTTATAGACACAAGCGGACGTTTTATATTCCTTTTATAAAATATTTTTGAACTTTTAGGCTGAGCGTGTTTCTGTCCTCTAACATTAACACTGTAGCCAACCAACCTGTAGACCAAGGATAGGCGTTTAGTTGAATCCCGTGTCAAGTTTTTTTTTTTTTGATAATGATGACGTCTAACTAAGGTTCCTTGTTGATTGTTGGTGCCAAAAAGATTGCTGCTGTGGAGAAACGGTTTAGAAACTAAGCAAGATGAGAGTTTTTATCCTTTTCCGATAACTTTGATTTGTCTTCATCGTTGCTTTCTTTTGTTCCTGATGAACCGATTTGTGTGGTCATTTTGCAGACTGACGATGAGCGAACGAAAAAGACCAAGACTGTCTGTGACCAGCACAACATCCACCCACACCACAACATCCACCACAACATCTACCCACACCACCACATCGACCTCAACATCCACCCCCGTCATTCACCGCCCTCAACTCATTTACACACCCCCCACACCATCAACCGGTCAGATATCACTCACCCGTTTTAGCACAAATCCCCACCAGCGCTTAATGACCTTAAGATTACACATGCCATGCCCTACACAAACTCTACACATTTATTCAGTCGCCATACCCATAGAATTTCCACCACCGCCACAACCATTATCAGGGACAACGTCTACGCAGACAACAACTCAGACGACAACTAAAGAAGAAGATAAAAGTACTCAGACCGACACCGTGTAAATATTGTAAATAGTGTAAAAAAAATCTTGTAAATACGTAAAAATGTAAATATTGTAAAAAAAAGAAAAAATGAGAACGACAAATTGTAAAATAAGGATGTTCTGTTCTGTTAGCAGCATTTGTCACTTTATTTCTGATGTGTGTAAATTTCATTTCTGTTTGCCTTTTACAAAAAAATTGTTATTATGTATTTTTGCTACAAAAGTTGGTTATGTTTTAATGGCAATTTACGTATGTTCACTTAATGTAATTATGATTATGATTAGAATTTGCTTTTACACCCATTTTATATTCAAAATGACATTTCAAATTGATTTGGATATTTGTATCTTTTGACCATAACTAGGTTAGAAGGGGAAAACTGAATAATTGCCTCAAACCCTTTCATCTCCATAGAAAGTGAACTGGCAAAAATTCCCTTTAGACCTTTTACTGTAAATCCTCTATTCAGCCTCTCTCTCCTTAGAGGACTACAACAAGACAACCATGAATGTACCACTTCCTTGGCACAAAAAGGTATTGGTACAAATCATGCTATATGTTGGCAGTAGTCAGTGCGGCATTTCTAGTATGTCTCTCACTCTCTTTAGCCTTGTGCCATGTAATATTGGCCTAAGCATTCAGGAGGGGGTATGGTAGAGGACTGACAGTACAATTTGTTGTGTTTATATTAGAAAAAAACATGCACTAAATGAGCTTTGGCGTTTCTACTAAAGGCCAAGAAAATACCGGTTTAAAATTAGGCCACGTTATGGGTCAAGGAGTTGAAATTATAGAGGCAATTAAATAATTGAGTCGATGAGTCATGAGTCAAGTGAAAAACTTCAAATATCTCGGATTAACTGCTACTATCTGCTTTAAACAAATACTGGTACATACAGTAAATATAGTGACAAACCTGAATAAACACTTCTTGAAGGGTGGTGGACAAAACACTGACCCACACTTCAAGGACATACCCTAAAATGGACTACAACGCCGAAGTTTAGTGATTAGGGTTAGGAAACTGACTGATTCTTTGACTTCTCGAGTGCTCTACAGCTCCCAGTGTTTATATCACAGTTTATAGACACAAGCAGACGTTTTATATTCCTTTTATAAAATATTTTTGAACTTTTAGGCTGAGCGTGTT